GAACCTTCACATTGCGAGGCTCCAAAAGGGTCCTTCGATTGGCCTTTCGTCATCTCGTCGTGCTGGGCCTGGCCCAGCTCCCTTTGAATAGGGCTGGGAACATCGGGATGACCTTCCCAGGATCTTCTGCTGATGAGAGAGGTGGAGTTCACTGAGGAATTGGTTGGCCAATCCTGCTTCAAACCAAGACATGTACCAAATCAAACAAAGTGTACCAAGCCTGCTTCAAACCTCACCAAAAGATGTATCATCATTTACCAACTATAAACCACCTGTGTCAGTATATTCATGTATATTCAGTGTGTCTTCATGTTGGGCCACCTCGCCATTCCTCGCAACCCGCTCGCATGACATGCGAGCTGGATCCTCTCAAACGAAACCTGGATCCCGTGTGTGGTCGTTGATCAGTTTGTTTGATTCATCCCTTCCACTCACCTGCAGACACAAGCCCTGAAATGCTTCGGCGAGTGCAAGAGTCAAGAAATCATTGTTCCATCTATTTAGACAAAAACAATCAATAGGGCTGCGTTTAAAACATAACAAATAAAGGGTACTCACTCTTGTTTATTGATGTTGTTTTGCATTTTGAGTCTCCCTATTTCTAAGACACTTTCGTGTGTAATTCATGCTCAGTTTTACTTCTGCAAAGACGTTGCGTGTCTTCCCTCTGGGGCTAAAGGAAGAGGTGGCAGCCTGCACTGCATGCAGCCTGAGGTATTGGAGGTCTATAGGGTCGCATATAGGTCGCAGCAGTTGAAGGGTTGACGAATCCCACACGAAAGTGTGTTTGGAGTTTGCAGGCCTTCGCTCTTAGGTTGGAGGCCATCGCTCTAATTGTTTGATCGATTCCAACCCCAGCAGGTCTGGAGTTTTGCTGCGGTTTCGCTTCAAAGTTTGTCTAGCAGCCAGACCCAATGGCCTTGTCACAAACAGAAGCCCTCCAGGACAACTCATATCCCGGGTGTTTCTCCGTGACTTTTTGGAGCTCTGGGGTTTCCACCGGCTTCCCAGCTAGTTTTTAGGTCATTCACTTACTGTAGCAACAGTCACAAAGATATACAGTAATGCTTGTGCAATATTGCAGTAACAATTATATGTACAACAAGCACGGTGACTCACTATGTTACAGGTTGCCGCCTATATTGAAGTAGAGACTAGAGACCAATAACATCCCTCAAGGTTGCAACCTTGAGTGGTCTAACAGATCCACCATTCTTCACCAAGTTGGTCATGTTCCTGCCACAACGAGCAGCAGAAAGGTACATCCCAGCCTTTGCGAACGTGACAGTTCTGCCGAAGAGGGGACAGAAGGCGCGGTCGAATGGTAGAACGTGGCAAGACCAATAAGACCGCGGCAAGACGGGCAAGTATTCAGAGCCGACCGATGTACCAATACATTGAATTTCATACAAGCATTAGATCCGTCATGTGTTAGCTGTTTGACGCTCTTTGGAGGCCCTGTAATAACCCATTGGTATGGATACTTTGAAGACTGCAGGTGCTGGCATCCTGGTATGTGAACTTTGCTTTACAGTGGTTTCAGAGTAGATGGCACAACCCCCAAGATGTCCTGTATATAAGGGTCCAAATAAACCACCTTTTGGGGATTGTTCCATTTAAACTTCTTCAATCGACTGCAGTGGGCTTGGTTTAGACCTCCAAAAGTCTCAATGTCCAAGATCAGGAGCTCTCAGTGTTATGTTGATAGCGCCCAAACCCGATGAACATCGATGCCAGTGCATGCCAGTGTCACATGGCCAAGCGATCACTGATGAACACCCATTTGGACATATGCTAGGTGTAGAGTGATCCCCAAATAGATAGTCGCACGGTGTCCAATACATTTTTAGTGGGGATCTACTTTTCTATCTACTTGGGGTTCTCTATATCTTCACCACATTTCAGGAAGTGATTGATGCAGTCGCCCTTCCTGATTCAACTTCAAAGGTAAGGGGAGTAAGTGGCCGGATCTCAGGTCCCAACCGGCTGCTACCCGGCTGGCTGGGTTGCAGACCGCCCTTGGCAGGAAAACCAGCCCTGCGAGAAGGCGTGCCGACGCAGAAGTTCGGTGAGTATTGCAAAAAAGCTTCAGTTTTGATATGTTTTGATTGTCTTTTGTGTCCCGACCGGTCCCCACCTGGTCGAGCAAATGCTATAATTTGTACATTTGTACGCATTTGCATGAATGAAATTTGGAACGCAAATGTGACTTTGAGGAAGAGAAGCCGAAACACCTGGGCTCAAAAAGACACTGTCCCTTGTTGGTAGCATAGGTCCCGTTGCACAGCCAAGTGGAACCACGTGCCCTTGGACGCTGTCGTCAAAATTCCAATTTAAGAAGATCAATGGATCATGCCAGCACCAGCCGAGCACTTGGTGCATCTCACCTCAAAACCACCTCAAAGCTCTTGAAAAGGAAAGACCTTCACCTCCCGAGACCTTCGGAACCCGCCTCCCCCCACTCCACAAGGACGAGATCGCGGGTGCTTTGTCGAAGGTGAACCTTGAGATAGTGTGGAGATGTGAAGCATCAATTTGGTGGATCCAGTGAATCCACCTTTCAGCTTTCAATTTTGATGTCAATCATCAATGACCTTTCAGCTGAAAGGTGTCCAATCATTTGGTGGTTCACCCTTCAGCTTGAATTCAACTGTTTGGTGCCATCATGTGTCATCCCATCAGTGAAGCGAAGCTCTTTTGCCCAGAACCCCGGTCGGGGCATGTTTGGGTGAAGGCCGACCCCCTGTCATAGAGTCAGGTAGATCCGCACTGAGAGTGTGGACACGGTGCCACGCATTTTCCTCTTTGGGGATTTGGGGGGATTCACATCTCAACGTCAACTTTCAGGTCTTCGTGTGGCGCGTGTATCTTTTTCTCCGTGCTTTTGGTTTCCATTGCAGCTCCTCACAGGTGTCCATCACGGTAGGTCCTTAGGTTGTGTCCCGGGCCGAGGACCATGCGTGTGTTTGTTGGTTCACATTCATGGTGTGGCTGTTCATGTGGCTGTGGGGTTTGTCAGCCGCAAACCCACCAAAGCATGGTTTCCGTGGACGGAATCTGTTCAGAACTTATTCCGGGGTCCCAGAGTGTTCCGGGGCCATGAGGCCACGGCCATGCGTTTTGTCCGTCTAGGCCATTACCTTGCGCCAGCTCTTAACCCACACCTCCGGTCAGGCGCTCAGGCCGAAGCTGGTTGATGCAAGAGCTGGTTGTCTGACCAGAGTTCCAACAAAGGGAAGCACCGCCTGGTACTTGTGGCCTTCAAGCACCATGGCATGTCTTCTGTCAGTGCCTCCTGTTGATTTTTGAGGGCATCATATATGACAAACCCCACCCCAAAGAGCTGACGGAGTCGACGCCTGAGGCATTGGCTATGGCGCAACCTTAGATGATCCCTGGCCACCAGAGAAAGGCCACTCAGATCCTAAAAGGCGATTGCTTATATAGACGGGTGGTGGTAGATGGGATTTTGAAATAGCAGATGACTCAAGGGCCCGTAAAAGACAGTTGACATGATGATTTTTTGTTGTGGGGTTTCTTCATGACGCAAGACTCAAGACTCATTGTAGGAGGTCTTCATGTGACATCAAATGGTTCAAAACACCCTCTTAGCGAAGGAACCATGTGGCAGCATCCCGAGCTCCCTCATCATCATGGATGTTTTCCTATCGGAGCATGGTAGGACAATAATATGCCCTGAAAGAAGACGATGTCACCCAACCAAGCATTTTCCCCTGCCTTTACCTCCCATTCAACGAGGTGGGACAGCAAGCGGGTGAAGAGAACGTGGGGAAGGTCCAGGAAGTGCTGTTTTTCAACGTCTTGTTTTTTTTTTGATATTTGGTCTCGAATTGCAAGAGACTTGAGGCCAAAGACCTGCAACAGGTCTCAAATGTGACCAATGCGACCTGAATCATTGACTTCCGGTACTGCTTTTTACATCCTGCCAGCAGCGACCGCGATATCTTTGCGTGGAGTGCTTTGAACAAGTCAGGAGACCCTTCTCAACCGAGCTGGTTGCCAGAAGCTGGGGACTAACCCCCCTACGGAAGGCGCGTACTACAAGATCTACGAGGAACTCTCGGAACGCACCAAGAGCCCGGAGTCCGAACCGGGCCGAACCTTCGGAGGGAGAGCCGAGCCAACGAAGAGGCCGACGAGATGGCTTTTTATCTCCGATGCGAGAGGTGAATGCGTGAGGTATAAAGAGAGGGTTTACTTGTCAGGTGACCTGACCAAGGGACCCTATACTGAGGTACCTGTGGAGCCTGTCTCTGGCTTCTTACAACCTTTGTCGAAGTGTTCGCCAGTCCGGACTTCGACCGCCTGTGGTGGGTGGGTCGCTTGGTCCGGGTCCAAGGGGTCCCCCCGGACGGGTCCAACCGGTTGGTCTCGCCCAAAGTGACCGATCGATCCCTAGGGATCCAGTCGTAGCTCAGAAGGTATGACTGGACCCGACCCTGGCACCTACATGTCTCAGTGTTGAACACAGAAAACCGTACCTGAGGTTCGGTACGACTGGATCCCGGGGATGTTTGTCCTATATGCAGCAGAGGAATGCAGATGATTCGAATCAGTGGTTTCAGGGGTTCGATTGCACCGAAACAGATGTCCGAAACAAAGATGGGGGTTCCTACAAAGCACGGACATTGTGACATTGTGCCATCCACTCTCAATCCAGAACTACTCAGACTGTAAGACGATGTCCCTGACTTGTCTCATGGAACCGATTTCCAGCCATTCAGGTGGCTCAAAACTCTTGAGCGGTCCACCCTTTCAGCCGCAGCGGGGGAATTCTCGCAGACTGCGGTGGACGGGTCTGGATCAAGTTACTCTTTCCAAAGATGAGTGGAGTGAATGGAGCGAGCTGAACTCCACATAAATGCAAGAATCCACACTGAGAAAAAGACAAAGGAGCCAAGGATATGACAAGACTAGCCACATCACTTCACCAGCAACATGAGACTTGACAGAGATAAGAGGTATAGAAAAAGCCCAGACTTTGATCCAGACCTGCCCATAGTTGGACGATGTTTCAGTTTTGCTGCTCTTCTCGGGATGCAAAGAGCATTGAGAACGAGAAGAAGGACTTTGATGAGGAGCTGCTGCTAGATTGAAATCGAAACAACGGGGACAGCCTGGGATGCAGTATGTAATTGTTCTCTCAAGATTGGTCGATCACCAGGTGCTTCCTCGGCTGCGCAAAATCCTGGATCATACTCACTGGGGGGAGAAGAAAGAAGTTCAGGCATGGAGAAAGGCACCAAGCCCTTTTGGACTCCAGCTGGGCAAATGTGACCCAGACTTAGGGGCTTGCAAAGGAGTGATATGTAGAATTCTATGGAATTCAAAAATGCATTTAGCCATATTTATCACCCATCAATTAAAAAGACCAATATCTCATCAGATATGGTCCACAAGCAACTGATCACTACTTTCTCCCAAGCAAGCAGCCGCAGAGATACCCCACAGATACCCCGTGTCATGCACAGTCAGCACCGTTCCTGTCAACCGCTGGAGGAGTTGTTGGACGGCTTTGCCTGGGCGGAGCGCAGCAACCTGCTGCGTTCGTCGCCCTCGAGCATGCTCCGGCGGAAGCTGGACGGGGATCTGGAAGCCACTTGAAGCGGACCGGACACCGTGGATGATGGAGGCATTTGATGGCTATAAGATGCGAACGAAAGGCTCAACTCCAATGCATTGAATACTTCCAGAACCTGAATCGAATCCATGGAATGTCCGCCTCCTGCTTGAGTGGAAGCGATGTGAGATGATGAAGCAGTGACAAAAAAACGGAATATTAAACACATACCAGAACATACAACACACACACACACACACATGTGTGTGTGTGTGTGTGTGTTTCGCCGATCAAGCGGGTGCCACAGCGTTTCGCTAGCTTTCACCACTCAGGTTTGGGTGCATTTCTCTCCAGACCACTGGGCCAAGAAGAGGAAACCTGAGACGAGACCCATGGAGGGGACTGGCCCCGCTTCTTCGAGCGTGTTGAGACCAGTCGACCCCGAAGCCTTTAACTTTACAAAGATCAATGAGCAGCCGGGCTAAGGGATGGGCACTGGGATGGGCGGTTGACGATTTTCTTTGGGTTTTGTTGCTTTTTTCTATTGGAAGATTGTGGCTTTCGACCTCCCAATGGAGCAATGGCTAGAAACAGGTTACAACGTAACATATTGTGGAAAACACAAGTTAAACACGTTGGGTTGTAAGACATGTTGTAACTACAGTAATAATATTAAACTTATACAGTATCATGCATTGACACACACATAATCACACAGTATCATAGTCTCATATATCTACTGTAATTATTTCTAAAATATATCACTTCAGCTGGTGTACTTGAGTTTAGGTGATTGTTTGGAGGATCGGACCAGTCAGCGGTCGCTCAGCGGGTCACGCCGTTCAGCCAAGGCAGGAAGTGCTCAAAGACGCGCTGGTACCGCCACAGATGTGCTCAGAAAGTTTTGCTTGCCAGTCCCCCAATGTAGACTCTTGATGAATAGCCCTCCCCATATGAAGATGTTCTTCAATCCAAATTGGAGGGGGTCCCAATTCGTTTGTAACACCTTTTCGGATGAGGCGTTTATTCATCAAGAGTCTATATGACCCATGGAAGTGCCACGTGTGGATCCATCCAAACCCATCCTTGAAAAGCGCCCGTGCTTTCAGTCAGGCGTCCAGTCTTAGAAAAGCCTCCCTCCCCCCTCCACAGTCCAAGGAGGTTGGAAGAACCGATGATGTTGGATCAACAACAACCCTTACTTAAGGGTTATATGTTGTAGGGTGGTAGTGTGGGGGGGTTGGTGTGAGTTGTAGTCTGGTCGGAACCGAACGAAGACCCCGTATTTTCCGGTGTTTTGGGGTCACCCACGGACCACGTGGGGCGGATTGGATGGGGTATAATGCCAACACCTGATTAATAAACGCCCCCCCCCTTGATGAGATGAGGACCTGGACCTGATGATGGATGATGGTTCATGGGATTCTGTCATGAGAAATTGAAGCATGAGAACCATGAGAGCTCTGAGTGTATTGGCACAAGTTTGATAAGAGATCAGATAGGATTGATCAGAGAGCCATGCCAATTGGATCATTGCATATCAGAGCATGGAGGATGAGGAATGGGAGGTGACGCTATTGAATACTAGCAAAAAAAGAAACCAATAAAAAACACTATAAATACAATAGTAAACTATATGTTTTCTGGGGCAGCTGGGATTGATTAATGGGGGGAGGTGGTCCCACTATTGGGGGGGGTACGGCCTGTGTGAGGGGTACCCTTTGTGAGCTTGAAAAAGTTAAGACTTTGACATTGATAGAGTTTTAATAAGGGGAACATGAAAGACTTTTGCTAGAGAGTTTTTGATGTTTTGGGGGATGGTTGGTAGCTACCTCTCAAAGATCAGAATGCTATCTCTCAAAGAGATGGCATGAGACAAGGGTTGATCAGAAGATCAGTTTCACCATGGACCAGAAGATATTGAATACTAGAAAAAAGAAAATAGATAAATATAAAACCAAGTATATTTTTCTGGGGAGCTGGGGTTGATCAATAGGGGTTTGTTTCTTCACTGTAAAACGTAATTATTACGGTGATGCCAAGGTTGGAAATCCAGGTTTTGAATTGGTTTAATATTGGGGGGTCGAGTTGGGATTGATTAATAGGGGGTGGTTACTTAATCCTGTGTGCGCACTACCACCGTCCGTTCCTTCGCCTCCATCGTGGGGGGGCGGCACGTGTTTTCTTGGTCCAAATCGACTTCCAACTGTTCCATGCCCCACGCCAACGAGAACTCACCAAGCTTTGAGGGAGTTAGAAGGTTCCGGCCATTAAGAGTTGCAGGATCTCCAAATCACAGAAGTCCCTTGGATCTAAAGAATTCTTTGTCAACCACCCCTTGGTGGCTCCTGACTTATTTTACTTTGCTTTGGATGTCGGGCGGTGCCAGCTTCCTCACCTAGGAAGTGGGCAGCTGGTCGGTCTCCTGGCCAGCTTAAGCCAGGAGCTGGTCGGTCTTGCATGAGCGGATTGGGGCGATGGAGGATGATGGATACGTGCCATCAGATTCCTTATTTGGTCTACCAATGGTCTACCATATCAACCCTTCCCCCCTACCCAGGCCATTCATGGCACTGGACTAGTAATAATATATATATATATACATTAGGTTATGTATGTCACTTATGTACCTACTATTCACTATTCCAGTCCCATATTTGGATGGTCTGGGCTGGGCTTCAGTTCCTAGCTCCAGTTCCGGTGTCCGATCGTGTGACTGGAGTGGATGACTGGAGGGCTCCAAGTTCTGAGTTTCGGAGATGTTCAGAGGTCGTATTTGAGCAGACCAAAACCACTTTGGACTGCCCTTAGCTTAGGAATTTGGGGGTTGACACAACTCATAAAACAACAGCAGGGCTTTCGTCAGGCGGAAAAGGGTTCCCCGAACTCCCACCGATCCGCCTGTTCCCCAAATCTCATTTAAACATTTCCCACTTCTCACACATTTCCCCCCTGAGTTTCTCCCTGTTTTCTCACCTGAACTGATCACGAGGTCTCCGTGTTGGCGTGTATCTCTCCCTTGTGCTTTGGGCATGTCCTCTTCGTCCCGGACCGCGCCAAGCTTCGGCCACAAGCCCTCACGACCGAGCTCATCTCTTGCGGGCTGCAGCTGCTTACAGCATCCAAGCGGAGTGACTTCCGGGCCCTCTTGGGAAAGTCTTAGCAGATGTTTTCTCTTCTTTCCCTAGGGATCCAGTCGTACCTTCTTAAAAGGTACTTGGACCCTCCAAACCTACATAACAGTGTCGAACACATCACCTGCTGAGAAGGTACTTGGATCCCTAGGGTCTGTATGTGTTGTTGATGTGTGTTTTTTTGGGGTGGGTAATTATCGTTGTTAAGGAAGGTGGTTTTCTTCTAAGCGCTATTATTTGTTGTTGTTCTGGCGGATGTTGTTTCTCCCAGCGCCACCCATGCACTGACTGGGTGCTTTATAGACCCCCCCTGACGATGCATGTTCCGTCCCATGCCCCCCCGGTTTGCCCAATGAATGGTGAACATACTGGAACAAAGACATGTGGCTCTAAAGACATCAGACGGTACTGTTGTTCCAGCCGCAGGGTATTTGGGGGACTAAGGCACCTCACACCAACTGAGTGAAGGACAACTGACCGAGGAGCTCCATTATATGGCTACATTGACCCCTGAAATCAACCACCCCAATGCCTAGCACATCCAATGGATGCCCTGGAGTAGGAGACCTGTTTACGTAGGGTAGGGTAGTCTAGCCAGGACACCCATTGGATGATCCTGATGTATATGAATAGTTCAGTCCCATGGGTCCCTCCGTGGGGCCGGCCTTCGGCTTGCCCAGGTAACCCTGGTCGGTCAGGCAGACGAGGCAGCACATGTCTCAGGTTCCACGAATAAAAATCCTTGAAGTGGCAAGCAAGTCATCCAGAACTTCTGAAACCCATTTCGAGAGATAGATGATCGATCGGTACTACATGGCGCATCATCCCTTATATGGATTCCATGTGATCATCAATGATAATCTAGATCCCAGGGCATCCAGTTGCCACTATAGCCGGTAACCAGTGGTTCCAAAGACTAAACCCATAGACCCAACGAATCCCTGGTTCCTTATGGTGGTTTGGCTGGGATCCACTGGGGATGTGTTCTATCATCAGGGGTCTCCCAAACATCAGGCGGACGTGTGGGAGGTGACAGGTGTCTCCCGAACCCCCTCTCAGGTGGTCTTCAACTCCATGTCGCTCGGCGGCATCCGGATCCTCCCATCGGATCCGGTCGATCCGTTCGATCGGTGTTTGAGGATGGTCCAAAATCAAAGACGTCACTCAGTTTAACTATACGTACCAGGACACCCGGACCAGGCTTTAAGGGATGTCTATTGATAGCCCCGAAAAGAGGTTAAGGGATGTCCATGAACCACCCGGACCGTGGGTCCTAGTACCTTCTCAGGATGTGGTTGGAGGTGTGAGCCCATAGGGTGAGCGCCTCGAGTGCCGTGGCATGGTTCGCCACGCTAGGTCTGGCTTTGCTTCGGTGAACCATTTCCACTACCACGGCCTCTTCTTGGACCATGCGGGCTTGATTCCTCGAGAATTAAGGTCGCATCCTTTTTATTGTGGTGTTTTCCAATGAAGTTATCATGTTGTTTCTTGTATGTCTCGCATGCAAAACCATTAGCGTCGCATGGATAGATGGAAAAGCACCTAAATTCATGATGATACAATGAGCATTCTTAAGAGGAACCCATCTAAATTCATCTAGATGATAATGATCTACAATCTTCATGTCAGACATCTGCAAAAGATTCTGACATCCCATCTCAGGAAGCGTTTGCCCGTGGAGTACATGTCGCGCTCGCGCGTGGCCGGCGACCGCACAGAGGGTAAACTTTGCTGCGAACTGCTGGTGGAGAGCTGGTTTTGTCGAGGTCTCATCCTCTCCGCGGGTGCCAAGGTGGAGCACGGCTCGGCATGCTCGGGGCTCGGGGGTCTTTGATGGTTTTGGGCCAAAAACGGCACACACGATACAAGCTCGACATCCCAAGATTGCATCATCCAATTGCAGTTCGTGGACCTCTCCATGTGTTGTGTGTGTGTCCAAAAGGAATGAATGGACCTGAAACAATTCCAACGTGTCGCACAAGGCACATCCGGACCCCCCTCCGCTGGCTTTCTCCCAGCTCACCGCATCGCAGGAAGGGGAGCCTCCTGAGGGTGCAGCCGATTTGGATGCCTTGACGGACTTTGCCGGACGGGTGGTGCAGTTCTTGCAGGAGAAGAACCTAGCGCACAACGTGCCCCTCATGGATTGGGTATGGGTGGATGAGTGGGGTGTAGTTTCCACATCCTGTTTGTGCGCATGTTGAAGGTACATTAGAGTAGGAACAAGGACGCTACTAAGAACAAGTGCCTTACTAGTATAGTAGCAAGAATCTAGTAGAAACATTACATAAATTGTCTAATTATTATATAGGGTTCCCAGGTCCCAAGTATAGCTGGCATCACAAGCACCTTGGAAACTAAGTTAGTTGGAGTCCTTCATGCAATGTGGAGTAATTGCTCGGTGATGTCGAATGATGTGATTTGCTGGGCTGGAAGTGGCGTGTGTTTGTGCTGATGATGTTCGAGTGGCCTAGAAACTCTTGGAAGAAGCATTCTCAGAGAGTCGGGTTGGTCGCATTACCAGTAACAGTCGGTTTTTCCACAACTTTTGAACAAGGCCTTTACTAACTATCATCATCCACTAGTTACTGGTAATGGGAAAGGCCCAATGTATCAGGTCGTATTTTCCTTACAACTCTTTGGCCTTGGACTGCAGCAACCCTTGATTCTAAGACGTTCACTTATTATGTAAACGCACCATGTTACATCCCGTTCGTTTTTTCGGTAGTGCTTAAGGTGATGGTTTCGTTTCCCTATATGGTTCAATCCCGTTTCGTTTGTTTCGTTCCAGAACGGGGACCCATATATGCAATCCCGAATGAAATCACGAGTTTTAAGATAACGCGGACCCAGACAGCCCTGTCTCACTGCGGGGTCTTAACACTAGTTGGTTACAAACCTATCTCGTTCTCCAGATCTCGTTCCCCTGTCAAGCCCTGCCGGTTCCGGTTGTTTTCGAGCGGCCCGTGGGCCGTTGGTGTTTGTTCTGGGAACCGGTGATGATTGTTTTGTGTTTCATTTGCTTCAGGTGATGTTTGTTTTGACCTGATGCTTGTTGACCTGGGTTTGCATGTTTGTGTTCATTTGCTTCAGACGTATTCAAAGAAGGCACATTTGGAGTCGAGCTTGTGTTTCTTTCTATTCTGACTGCCGTCCTTCTCGAGAGGGAACCAAGCCCGATGGAAAAGTCAAAGCCAGAAGATGAGATGCTTAAACTTAAACCGGGCAATTCAAACCTGCAAATGACCACTCGTTTTGACTAGACATGATAATGCTGATAGCAATCAAGAGCCAAACTCTTGGGATATATATATATATATAGTCGAGGATGTTTTTATGTTTTTCACAGTTCAACTTCGTTCTTGACTCTCCATCCAACAATCATGAAAGTGGAAGAACCTCCCCGTGGAGGACAAATATTATATACTTTTTGAGCTACTTTCTGCATGTTTCTTTTTTTTTGTGTCCTCTATTTGGGCCCACTTCCAATCTCAATGGTCTTCTTGCTGTTTTGGCCTGTCCTTCTGCGCCCGACAAAACCTGCGCCCTGTCCGCCCATCGCCGCCCAATGCCCGCTGTTTGCGCTCCGAAAACGACCCCGTCACGAGGTGATGTTCGTGCCTTACCTTGGAGAGCGGATCAAACCGCTCTTCGACCCCTACGAAGTACAAGAGCCTCGGGCCGGTCGCGCGTGCCACGCCGTTTTCGGTCTGGGAGGGAAGGCCCAGGTAAGGGACACCCTGCCTGCCAGCTGGTTTGGTGCCTAGAGTCCAAGGGCAAGGCGTTGTGTATGTGCAAACCAAATGATTGCCGCACAGAGTGTGGCTTGTTTCTGCGTGTATTCTGTGTTTTAATTTTGCTCCTTCGGCCACTGTGAGACGTTTCATCTCTGTAGAGTCATTTTCAAGCAGACCAACGATCAATTGATGGCAAAGAAAGAATGCGAGCTGCTTCGCATGCTCCATGGATGTCGCGAATCTCTCTATTCAGCATACCATATTTCACTTTTAAAGATCCGTGGCCGGATCACCTGTAGACCCGTGGCTCTCCAAACCAGGTCTTATGGGTCCAAACCGATCACTTTTAGCTTGTTTTGTCGACATCCTGTGAGCAAGCATCCCAACAATACCTTGCAACAAGTCTTGCAACATGTATATAACATGCGCATGACTGCCCAGTTTTCTTGGGGAAACTCATCATATAATAGGCTGATTGCCCTCCGCTGACCGCTCGGAATAGCTGAGACATTGCATCGCTCGAGAAGGGAAGAAAAAAACAGCGGACTCCCGAGAGGGAGGCGGCAAGTCACTCAAGGCATTCAACCTCAAAAGTTGGAGGTGCCTCGTGTGGATGTTGATTTCAGGGCCTTCGTCCCAACTGCTGCGCCCTATAGCGTGTGGACGGTTTGCATGACCTCGACTGGGTTTTGAAGCCAAGTCAAGTGAAGGTGTTACCTGAACAAACTTGGAATCCCTGGGATCTTTGGGGATTCTCTTCCGTTTGTTGCACAAAAGAGCTGACCATCGGCGGCCAGATGTTGGCCTGCCGCATGCCGACGAGACTCCCGAGCGCCCGACTCCCGAGCTTGATGGAGCCCTCGCCCATCTCCGACATCGACCGTTGTGTCCGCGTCACGGGCCACGCCCCCAGGACGTGCCTCCTCCCCGGGCGGCCTCGCCGGAGATTTACATCTTTCCACGGAAGCCCGAGGGTGACTGCCGCGAGGAGCGGACCGAGGTGCAGATGACCTGGTGAAGTGCGGAGGAAAGGTGATTAATTAATTCTCAGACACGACCAATGGGACGGGACTGCTCAATTTTCCGATCAGGCCAGGGTTGGTGCCAGGGGGGGTCAATGGGGCGACAGTCCTATGGCAGTCCCAGACAGGTCGTGTCTGGGAGATTTTCCCGAACTGGTTAATAAATCATGATAAATCAAGTTCAATCCCCATATGCATGGGGGAATATGAATATGTTCCATTTTTCCAGGCTTCCTGGACAGCAAATCCAGGATGAGTGTCTATAAGAATAGGGGCGTTGGCCCTTTTGACATAGACACCCATTATGGGTCGACAAAAGGACCAGTCGGACCAGCAGGCTTGAAGACTGTTAAATTAAGAATTCCTTCCAGATCAAGAGCTTGTTCAATCCAAATGAGGGGGGATAACAAATCAAGAGTCTACAGTCTACATTAGATTTCTGTGTCCCATTGAGCAGGAAGGTGCAGTACAAGGTATTAAGAACACCCTGATGTTTTGTTGAGCCATGTCACCATGTCGTCGTGGTGGTGTATGGTGGTTTGGGATGGTTTGGGTGTGGATGATGGGTGTGAGAGTGCTTTGTGGGGTCCTTCGAGTGTTGTGGGGTGATTGCCAGTTTGGACACAGGTGGAACACTGTAAAACCGTTGTTGCTGGTGGTATCCAAACACGCCTTCACACGTAAAAAAACCACTGGTCGCTATGCAACCACCGAACAATAACTATCAAGACGCGTTTAAAACGCAATGGTTTTGAATGTAGTTTTTGAAACCAGTTGCTCGCTGTATTGGATTGCCTAGATCGGGGTGTGGAGGTTTGCAAAGAATGCAACTGGTTTGTCAGGGATAAAACAAATTCTCTACCTAGCACTTTCATTGGGTGCCCAATGGAGACCTATAGGTAGGGTAGGGTTGTCCGTTGGAAGCACCTGGTATGCATTCAATTTGCTATTCTGCTTCGGCTTCCTGCTTGGTCTACGGATTTGGCCCATCGGAGGACCCCGGCTTCAACGCGGCCATTTGCGAGATGTCGGGGCTGCTCTTCGCGCATGACGAGCAGCGCTTCAACAGCTTCGATGAGGATCGACACGTTGGGATCCGGGGACCGAACATGGCTGCTGTTGATGTGATGTGATTGGCGGTGACCTAATTGACCTGAAAGAATGGCTTGGTAGGTTGGCTTAGGATTGTGAAGCCCTGTTTGAAGAAAGAACACACCATGAAAAGGTTTATCTTTATGTCTAGAGTCTAGACTTGGCAATCTTGACTTGCCACTGTAAACTGTTTCAGCTCCGCTGCCTGCCTCATACACCACGACACGAGCTTTGCGAGCCAGGATCAGGTGGCCGAAATCTTTAAGCAGGATGTCTCAATGGATGGGCATGACTTTGACGATTTGATTTGCAAAGTCGCCTGGATGATACCCTAACAACTCGAGGACTTCGTCATAGGCATTTGGCAGATGAAGATCCGCTTGAGTGTGAGGAAAAGAAGCGCTTGCACGGACTTGCCGTGTGAAAAACTACGCCGACTTCTCCAAGTCTTGTCCATGCAAAAGCCTCCAACTATAGGGGTGAACTTCTCATAAGTCTCGTCCTTTTCAATGAGCTCCAAGCATTTTCCAAAGAAACTGTCCAGACGAACCGTCCTCCAATCGACTCCCCACCTCCTCGGCAGCCCAGTTCTCCAGTCTTTCGAGACGGATCCCCCAGGTGGTGAGATCACGACCTTAGAAGCGTGGCCTCGCCCTTGGGAGCGGGAGCTGGGCGGGAGAGGACGAAGAGCGGCCGAGGATGGGGGATGCAGCGACCGAGTGGTTCTTCAAAGTGACCGTACTTGATAACCTGGTTTGAGGTCACTTAAGCCTCCTAAGGGTCACTTAGGAACCTTCAAAAGGTCACTTTGAAGAAGCTGGCTGATGGGATTTGGATGGATTTGGGGTTAACAAACGTTTGGAACTGAATGGCATTAGCAGACTTGTACATGACCGGCGTGCCTCCCAATACGCCAGAGGATCATTTCATGTGGTCTTCTCTCGGTGGGCAGCAGGGGTTCGAAGTTTTGATGGCTTTTTGATGAGCCCATCCAGTGTGTGGATCAGGCGCCACACTCGAAAAACCTATTCAGAAGTGTTTGAATGCTGGAAATGGGGGATGGCCGCCGACGGCCGCTAAGCAATTTGACATGATCGGAGGTCACTCAAATGGGCCTTCAGTTCGAGGTTGCTCGGGCGGCTCTTTGAAGGGCTGTGCAACCACCTGCAATGGTGCAGTCCCGAAAGCAGTAGGGCTTTCGGCCATCCCTTGCGGAGGCCTAGACTGGTGGCCCAAAGCAAGCGCTGCGTTAACGGCGTTTCGCCATTCAGGTGCAATGAGCTGGCCAAGGTCCCGTTGAAGGGGCAGCCCGGGCGCTACTGGGCCACTTGGATTTGACGTTTGCAGAGGCTTTGGCCATAGCATGTGGCAGTGTAGACAGTGTAGAAGGCTCCCCAACTCCAGCAGTTGACGACTAAAACGGGCACTTGATGTAAAGCGATGCAGTGGAGGAGTTGAACATGGATGCAGGAAAGTGTTGGAGGATGCTCCTTTGGTTTCAAATGTTTGTTTTAGAATGCGATAAGCTGATTGTTCACGTCGTCCCCTGCAAAAGAACTGCTGAGCTGCTGAAGTCCTATGCGCTATGCCTACTTGCTAAGGATTACAGCTACAGCCTCGACGTGTTAGGGCGTGCTCGATGCCCAGCCGGGTGGTGGTACTGCACACCTGGCACTCCGTATTTGGGTGTCATGTTGCCCGCTGGTCCCAGGCGTGATTGGCATTGATTTGCTAAGGGCTTCTAGAAATCTACACCTTCAGAGACGGTGCTGCTCCCCCAGCTAGCGATCCAAAGCCATCAGCATCATGGACAGGAAATTCAACTGCACATGTCATTTCAACTGTTTCAGGGTCAGGACGATCAGGCGAATTTGAGGACCAGTGGCAAATGTTGAGGGACCATCGTTGGGAGACTGACAAGCGCTTGTCAGCGCTTGTCAGCGCTTGTGGACGTGTGCAGATACAAGCAACTTGCTTGGCCCGGGTGATGCTACGAGATGATGTGTCCAATCGCTTCAAGGGAGGTAAAGTATTTGGAATGTTTGTGTTTTTTGCTATCCCTAAGGATCCAAGTACCCTCTGAGAAGGTGTCTGGGGTGGGTTTGGAGGATCCAAGTACCTTTTGAGCAGGTACTTGGATCCCTAGGGTATATAATGTTCATGGCATCTCCCAAGGTACCTGACCCACTGATGCAGAGCAGTTCCAAAGGGATGTTAGATGGAGGGTAGGGTGCCCATGATCCACTCGCTAGGGGTCCGATAGCAATCCCTTTAACAACTGCTGGTGCATTGGGTGCACACTTAGGGGTCCGATTCCGATAGCTGTTTTTTGGGGGAACTGCTGGTGTGCACATTTATTATATTATTTTGTGTTCAACTATTTGTTTTTTCAGGCGTTGCAGTTTTTGTGCCCCTCCTTGTTGACCTGGGCTCCACCTTGCATCAGGGCCTGCAGAATCCTGCAGATTCAAGTTCGTTATATAATACATATATATATACACATATCTATGGTTGGCATAAGCACCTTGCCAGACACCAGCGGTTCTTGATTTCAGGGCCATGTGGCGGCCATGTGATGAACTGCTATTGAAACATGTCAGGTTTTTGTAGCGTTTCTGCTTCAAGCATGCTAACCACCTTAACATGAAGGAGCTCGCTCGAAGAAGAAGAAGAAGGAGAAGAAGAAGAACCATCTCAGCCTGGGCATTGCGGACGAACAATCAGAAGGATTTCGAGGGTTGCAGAAGGCTCTACCTAACCATACCTAACCCCACCATTTTCCCCCACACCTTACAGCCTCGCGCTTTCGTTTCTGGCCATCCTGAAAGAGAAACCGTTGCCTTATCAGACAAAGAATGCAAGTAAGTGGAAAAAAACACTTTTCAAGCCATCCGGTTAAGAGAACTCAGCTGTAGTGAAGTTGAAGCTCCAACTTTAGTTGGCCGTTGGGGGAATCGCTTGTTGGGGCTAGAATCTTCATATTAGGATCATCAAAAAGTAACAGGAGCTCACTTGGTGAATCCTGTCAGGTTCCAGGACAAGACTTCACTCGGCCTCACGAGTTGGTGCCTGGAGAAACCCAGGTCTGGGTTTGGCAGCTTGAGCCATGTGCTAAAAAATTGAAGAAGAACCCTAGCAGCCCTAGCATACTCGTGAGGACTTCAAGTCTTAGACATGTCTACCTGGCACCAGCCGATGGATCGCCAACCATTCTGACTGGGGGCCTTTTAGCCATGCCATGGTCATGTGCTGCCGCTTCCTCCTCACGGTGTGGCTACTGCAGAGGTACGCGCCGTTTTCTGCGCTTTTGGTCATTGGTCATTGATGAAATGCAGCATTGGTCAGGATCGTGAGGATTTTCACTTCAGCACAATGATGTTATATATCAATCGTGTGAACCCGCGGTGGTTTCTCTTCCAATAGAGGTTGAAGAACCTAATGATACCTTATATATATATATATGTCCCAGTTCGGTACCCCAGGTTACGGGTCTTTTGTCAGGTCACGTCACCTTTTTTGATGTGCTGGGTGCGTAACTGGGGTGTGTGCCTCGACTCATCGGTCTCACTGGATGGGTCAAGCCAAAGCAAACCCGGACTCGATGGACTGGAGAACATGCCCTGCACCGGCTTCTGTCAGTTTTCTGTTGATCTGCCCCACCAGAATGCCTTTACAGTCTATACATCTCAAATTTTTGGGAGGTCTTACGAATCAACAATCTACACTCTGGAAGATTAACATGGAACATCAAAACCACTTGGTTTTAAAGAAAAGTAGCCTTTCGAAGGTCCATTTTCAGGTCCCATGTTAATCTTCCCGGGTGTACATTTAACTCACTGATCTCGCACCTGCGGAAAACACCTCCACGCAGGCATGGCTTGGCCGCCGACGCTCAACCTGAGGAGGTGCCGAGATGGGAGCTGGTTCTCACAACGACAAGCGCATGTTTGGTACCTACCTGGACCAGTAACAAGGTTCGCTACGAACGGGGCTCGAGCGGCCTTACTACTATGGAGCGTTCGGACGCTACGAAAGGGGCTCCTGGCATCGCGACGAACGGCGCAACGCTCTACTACTAGTTAAAACGAATACCTGGACACACATGGACCTTGAAAGGGTGTCCTGTCTGGAGATCCCTAAGTGGTGGGGCTTCCAGCCAGGTGACCCCGACATGAAGGTGCGTCACCGTCGGCGCCCGTATGAACTCGCTCGTCGCTTGTCTCGTGGCCCGTGTGTTTGGACGCCAAAAGAGTCAAACATATCAAAGCATCTATATACTCTCCAACTCACCAACATGGAAGTGAAAATTTGACTCTGTATGACTAGTTTCCTTTGCGAACAGGGTGGTGTCCACTGTCCACTTCCATGTTAGTGAGACGGAGTGTATCAAACATCATCTATCAAGCATCAGCTACATGGCACCAAAGGGACAGACCAGGCACCAAAGGGACAGACCACCATGTACCGCGGTGCGTCATGGTCCATGCACAGATTCATAGACGGGTCAACAAAACATGGGCAGCGAGCACCACGGCGTGGAATTGCTCCTTTTTGCTAAGGATTCGATCATGCAGTCACATGTTCGCCGGCTGCCGGTGCCAACTCTTCAGGTGCTATTTTCCATGGACACATGCCGTAAGTCGAGACTCCGTTATCGGCACTCCTGGGCACTCCTCACACTCCTCATTCATTGAGAGTTTGGAGTGTACCTGGAAGGCTGCTTTGCTTGAAGAACAGGGAGCGGAATCTGCTTCCATGTTAGAGTGGGCAAACCACCCAATGAACTGGCTGTCCAAATGAGGGTTCTCCTGCGTCTCATTGCAGGAGAGCTGCTTTCAAATCGTACCGAGCCTGGGTGCAGCTGCCTGGGGCGGGCTTGAGGTGAGTGGAGTTTGCGTGTAAATAGAGTTAGTAGGTGACCCTCTCCCAACAGCCCCAGCCTGGTGTTGAAAGTGTTTTCGAAATCCTCCATTTCCAAACGCTATGTTGGGACACTGCGCATGGGTTGCACCATGGATTATTTGGGTGTGTGTCACATCCTACATTCATCATCAGTAGAACTTCAGCTTTTTTGATATGATTTAATCAAGTACCAGCACCCGACTCTACAGGTCAGCACCTGCGACTCTTTAGTTTACCTCCAGACCGACCTGTAGAGTCGGGTGCTGGTATATTTGACGTTTATGGCAGTTTTATTCTCGTGAAATCCTAGATGTTCCTCCAACAAAGGGGCGAACCTCAAGCCTTCAGTCCCATTCCTGCAGAAAAGAAACTCCTTTGGCTCTAATTGTTTTTCTGGATTTCTTGCGAGTTGCGCGAGTTGGATCTTGTTGGGTCAGTGGAATGAAAGAACAAAACCGTGGAAAGAGCACTTTCTTACCAGAGAGTTTGCAGAGTCCCAGCCTCCCAGCCTTAGATTTGCGGTTTTCAGAGCCTTCGATGGCACAGGCACCGCGCTTGGCCTGTCTTAGACATGTCAGGGCGTCCAGTCCATTGAACCACCAAATCTGGGACATTTTGCGCCATAGGACTGCCATAATTCACTGTATATACATGGGACAATCTTCATCAAAAGCACATCTTTGAGTGCCAGTGCCATCGAACCTCTGAAAACCACTGGTACCAAGTACAGAGATGCTTCCGGATTGGCCGTGTTTCGGTCGTCTTGTAAGCACCAGGGTCAGACCTCCGGCTCCACTCTTTCACCGCTTCGGGCCAATCACCAGTGACCCAGCTGTAGATTCCAAGAGAGGTGAAGTGACCTGTACTAGGACCCGTCACCTGGGGTACCGAACTGGGATAGTCTAGTTCGGGTCACTCAACCTGTGTTGGTTGATTCGATCGAAAGCCGGAATCACACGACCCAAGGGACTGAAATAGGACTGCCGATGCCAGAACCCCCCTGGCACCGAACCAAGTGATCGGCGGACTGGCAGTCCCATGGAGCGTTTGGGATTGGAATCGATCTTTGGAGCGAATTGCTGGAGCTCAGTTGACTTTGAGGCGTGACTTGCTCGCCCAGATCCAGCCATCAAAACACTCCGATCCCCAAACCTCGAGCCGCTCGAGCCTTCCTTCGCCCGTGCGACCGGAGCCCATCCCAGGACCGGAGGCGGTGGCGCCTCATCGGTCTTCCTCAAGAACTTCCCCCAGCGCGTGCCCCGGTCACCAAGTCGGTCGACCTCCACGGGTGGCGCAGGGCCGGTGTGAGGTTTGCATCCGGTGGTCGGGGTGAAAGCCATGGAGAAGCCGAACGCAGCTCGACGTGACAGCTTTAGGAGAGGGACAAAAACGGGCCTGGCAAATTGTGGCATCCAGCCTGGTTCGGGCTTGGGGCGTGAGAAGTTCATGGGTTCATGTGTCATGTGCCAAAAGATCTCTCCGGATGGATGGACTGTTAAAACCATGCAAGGGTGTCCAACGCCGGCTCACGGGTTGGATTGGGACGAGCGCGGAAGTTGGGCCACAGTACTCCTCAAGAAACCACGCAAAGCTGAACAAGAGATTACCAAGCTAGATCCCGCAATTGATACAACAGTGTGCTTTTGGGAGATGTTGGGGAGATTTTGGGAGAGAAAACCCTCCCCAAAAATGGATCAAAATGGATCCCAAACAACTTCTGGGACTTTTTGGGATTCGACCCGAGTTGGCACCGTCCGACGTCACGCTCGCGTGGAGGTTTCCCGTTGGCTGGCCGATGGTGCTGTGCCACGACAGGCGAGGGGGTGGAAATCGATCTGACACCCACGCTGGTGTCGGGTTTTTATATGTATTTGTAGATGAGATCCATTATTATCTTATAACAATGATATATGTGATATATGATACATGATGATACATGATATATGATACATGATATATGTGTGATATATGTGATATATGTGATATCATACAAGTACAATGTGATATATGATTCATACCCCGGGACATGTCGACTGGAATCAAGAAAATGAAGGACGAGGGGAGACACGATGCAGACTTATTTGTGACAAGGAGCAGCGCATTCGTGTCATTGCCATGCTCCAAACATTCAAAAAGATGGGAGTAGCTGTGATGAGGCAGCCTTTTACGCGTTTAAACACCACGCGGAGGCTGGCTACGAGCTGGAGGAGATGGTGGATCTTTTCTCCAATGCGGATGTGGTCTTTTGGCCGGTTCAGTGGTCTCAGCCGGTCTGGGTAGAAGGTCGGTAGAAGCAGATTGAGTATGCTGAATTGGGAGTCTGATGGTGCCAAGACAATCATGATTTGACCCCCTTGACTGATTTTTACTTGTTATATAAATCTTGTCAACATTTTTGTTACATAAGGGTCATTTATTGGAGCACTAGTGGTGGTCGTGGACTTTCATTGGCTCCAACAGCGGCATCGCTCTTGCAGCATTCGTGTTATCAATTGGGTTTGTCCCAGTTACCTGTAACAGTTGGTATGCAGCTATCATTGTTTTAGAGAAAGATAAGATGCAACCTAGCCATCATCCACTGTTTTTGGTCATCCAAAGGATGGAATTATCCCAATTATAACATGTCCATACGTTTTTTTCCACCCAAGGCTTGGGCTCCTGACTTCTCCGACAGCCGTCCGACACAGACGGCTCCAGTGCCGTCCGGGCCGGACGGCGTGTGCGAACGAGGTCTTCCCTGAGAGCATTTCGCCCGCCTGTGCAGCACAACTCCTTTCAGTGATCCTAGCGCCACCGGGGCAGCAGAGGCTGAGGCCCAGGTGTTCGGCTCAGAGGTTGCTGGGAGCTAGCATTGTGTTGAGGTTCCGTGAAGCTTCCACTGGTGATCAAGATAAAGAAAACCATGATGGGGAAAACATAGCACATCAGCTAGCAACGAGCTTTGGCGGGTGGTTGCTCTCTTTTTTTACTAGTGTGGAGTCACCTTGTGCTCCTTGTCATGGTTTGCTTGTTGACCGAACGGTGTTTTTTTCTTTGAGGACCCGGACGGTGACGTCCACGTTCGTTCGTGGCTTTGGGGGAGCGATTGGGCTAATGTAGACTCTTGATTCATTAATAAACCCCCCATATATGAAGAGCATTTCCAATTCAAATATGAGAGGGTTGATTAATCAAGAGTCTACATTACTTCCATTGCAAGATGGTGGCAACCCCCTGTTGCCACTGAGGACAGGGGTGGGGAATGTGAGGATGTGGGTCAGATAGAGTGAGGGTCCGGGTGTCGATCCCAACCATGTGAGGATGCAGTTGGAGCTAGGGTTCACAGGGCGCCAAAGCCCATCCCTTTGCTACAATGGCGACAAAGGTAGCACACCCACAAACATCCACAGCCCAAAAGTAAGGAGGAGCCTCATAAGGACACACACTCACACACCTTCATTTGTTGCTGTCTTCGCTGGGCTTCCCTTCATGAGGTCTTGCCTCTTTCTGGAGCCAGACAGTTGCGCAGTGCCATGGCATCTCTTTGTGCATCCTTGGGAGTACCTGGTGAGGAGACGCAAACAGGTGAACCGACCTATTTCAGCAAAAATTGAGGGAGTCAGTCAGTTGCTTTTGGTGGTGCGCTGGAAGGATGTTGGGCAATTGGGCGCACAGACACGAAAGAAAGCAAACACATGCGTATCATTCACGGATGTTGATGGCCACTATTCTGGCAACATTGAAACCTGCAGTACTTACAGCTGCCAGACACGCATTGAAAGACTTGCAGGTGATGGTTGGAACCCTTCCTGTGGACATCCTTGGGGCGGTTATATAGTGCAGACTGGGACTCCCAACTTGATCACTTCGACGCACAACAAGACCACTGAAGAATATATGTTCCCATGCAACACGAACATGGACCCTGAAAACCACTGGGTTAACTAGAGAAACATGTAGGAACCACGGAAAAACATCACAGTCTTGGTCCTCGACCCAGGTCGAACTGTGGAGACTCGTTCGACCCTCACGACGTCCGTGGTTTCCGTGCGCTTTGCGCTTTGCGGTCGCAGGAGCCCATGGCCCCTTTATGAGTTGGTGGCCTTGTGGTCCAGCACCAGGCGCCACCCGGCCGTGCACCGTTCCTCGGTTTCGGGGACGTTGGGCGGCAGGTCGGTCCGGTCCGGTCAAGAGCGAGGCACGGGAGGGTGCTCTGTGGAGCAAATGAAAGCTGGTGGTTAACGTGAAAGAGGCAGTAAACCCAAAAAACACCTTATGTAGATGCTTTTGGCTGTGATTTTAAGGAGTTGGTGGTTGAGTGGAAGGCATTTGAAGAGGCGGAACTCGAGGAGGAACTTGATGTTCCACCATTTGACTCGAGGAGTCAGGGGTGATTTTTATGCAAGTGCCCTCTTCAGCAACAGACTTATGCCTAAAGGAATAAACGCCTGATGGAGCTTTAATCTCCAAACTAGCCAGATGTGTTCCTTCTATAAAGTACTGGGATCTCTCGGAATGCTAAAAAAAAACACTCGAGTGACCGTGACCCACTATCTGTTCTGGGAACCGATTTCCAGAAAATGACTCGGACAAGCATCCAGCTTTTTTTCTTTCACTGGAGATCAGTGCTGGATAGAAACAGACTCAAAGAAGTCAGACCTCGGGATCCGGGGATTTCCAGGGGCTTTTGAGTCCCATCCAGTGACCCTGGATCCTGCACCCCCCCTGATCCTCCCAACAAGCACCAAAGTTGGGAACAGCTGGTCATCATAACGTTTTGCGTTATAAGGAACAATTTCTGCACTTGTTAGTCGCCTCAGCTATACTACAGCTATGCTCATGATTGAGCCATACTATGCTAGATCCTGTTGAAGGACGCCATCCAAACGAATCCCTGGCGCCCAAACGCTGCGTTCTCATCCACCGGGGGTTTGCCTCACTCTAGCCGAACCCAGACAAATCCTATAGAAAGCTGCCAGCAGGCCAGCAGCTCATATCTATATAGTTTCTATATACACTCCCTGGAACTAATATGGAAGTGGAGAATGGCCCCTTGGAAGACCATTTTCCACTACAAACAGGTGGTGAACTCCAGGCCCATGTTACTTCTAGGGAGTCTAAATGAATCTCGGCTCCTGTATAATAAATGTTCAGTGGATGCCTTGACGAATCAGACTACGTTGACTGGGTGCCGGGCATGGGAACACACTCGGAAGCCCTAGAATCTAGAAGAGCAAGATAGACCACTCCTTGTGAAGCACGCTTTCAGGAATTCCCTTCCATTGCTTTCCATGAAGATCGGGCCTTGACGCTCTACCACTTTGACCTGAACAAGCATAAGCCCATGATGACACTCTCCATGGCAGATAGTGCAGCAGAGTGTTGTGCAAGATCGCTACACTTCGGCTCCCTAAGCTGCTGGCACTGTGATCTTCAAAACAAATGACTCCACCGAACTGCACAGCAGACATGTCGAGTGGGCCTTGGTGATACAACATGATACGAAGAAGGATGCTCATGACAAAGAAGTAGGAAGAAGATCTCAACACACATCTCAACTGTCTTTGAGTTCTTCAACCCAACAAAACTCGGGGAAATGGCCGTTTTGAACCATCTTTGGCAGGCCGAACTCGGAGTTCTTTTCGGAGGCGGACGTGGAGTGCGATGCGGACGCTCGGAGGAGCTTGGAGGAGACACCGTGGAGTCACTCTGTGCTGCAGAGATACGAATTTTGTGATGTTCGGGGCATCAGGGGAAGGAAGATGTGGTTCAGGGCTGGAGAATCACCTGCAAATAGGCTCTTTGGGGAAAAGTGGTTCCCCTAGTCAGCAAGACTAGAGACAGCGGTGGGAGATTTCCAGGAAAAACTGAAGGAGTGAGGAGAGTGGGAAGGGCTGGAGGAAGATGGATTACATATGGTGAGTTGAGCACTATATAGCTGAGCACCGAAGCTAGCTGCGAAGCGAGCTGGCCGGTGGTTCACATCCCAAAGTTCGCTGGATTCAGCTTTTGAGAGTACAGCTTTTGCCGGAGAGCTATGACTTTAAAAGGCATACTGTAAGAAGTTCTGTCGAGACACTTGTTAGTTCCTATCCCAGACACTCCATGGGACTGCCATATATATATATATATGCTACATTGACCCCCCAAACCACCCCAATGTAGCCAAATATGGCATACATGGAGTGTTTGGGTATTGCTCCCAATGCGGCTTCGGCTAAATGAATTCAATCAGCCCGGCGATGGCGGATCGCCCAGGTTTGTTGGAGGCCTCGTCCAGTATGGTCCTCCCCTCGACGCGCTATTTGGCCAGTTTTCTGCTAGAGAAGGCCAATCTGAACGAGCACCTCAGTCTATTTGGCTCAGGGTGGAGGTCCTTTTGGTGTATGTGGTCGAAGGCCAATCAGAGCAGACATCAAATGGCGCCATTGATTGACGTTCATGTTGTCAGAGGTCTAAACGCTGCAAAAGCCAATGAACCACCTAGGTTTGCACAAATACAATAGATCAGACTAGATCCACATCCACACTTGACAGATCAACGGACTGCAATCCAAAGAGCTTTTGCTGGACCATGTCGACTCACCGGCAGTATAGGCTGCATTTCTCTATACACCACATCTCTCGACTGCTCCATCCGGACTCTGTGACACCCGTTCCACGGATCGTTCTATGGGATCGATGCAGTTGGGCAAGAAGACCCAGGCACAACGACTCCGTGGGCCCCCCATAGAGATTGAGCTTCTGACTGGTGCGACTCGTAGAGAATGAGGGAATGAGGCTGCTTAGTAGAGATTCCTTTGGATCCAGCCACCCTCATTCCCTACAAGTCGCACCAGTCAGTCTTAGTGTGATGGTTTAGATGGCACCTGGCACTTGTTCAGATGTTTTGTGATGGGGTCGAGATCAAGCACCCAAACTTGGGGACTGTGCCATCTACTTCTTGAAATGCAACTGCTAAAAACATGCCTTGACCCCTGAAGATGTATATATAGGGTGTGGCCCATTACCAGCAACAGTCGGTAAAAAAGACATATCACCATTTTTGACAAAGGCCTGCAACTGAAACATCGTCGTCCACTATTACTGGTCATGGGATACACCCAATGTATATATATATATAGCACCTCTGAGGTGGCCCTTCCGATACGACTTCTGTGGGCAGCTCTTGCAACTCGACTTCTGATGGACGATGCTCTCTATCGCATAAGAGCGTTGCATATATCTAGACCGTACCTCGTCATATTACATCTACAAGATCAAACCCTAGGGATCCAAGTACCTTCTCAGATGGTGATGTGTTCGGCACTGCTATGTAGGTGCCAGGAGGGTCCAATCGTACCGAACCTGAGGTTCGGTACGAAAACGGATCCCTAGGGAAAGCAAGAGAAGACATCTGCTAAGACTTTCCCAAGAGGGCCCGGAAGTCACTCCGCTTGGATGCTGTAAGCAGGTTGCTCAAGTTGAAAGTAAGTTGCTCGAGTTGAATGAAGGGCGACGAACTCGCGTCCTAGGTGGGCCTTGTCAGCGACGACCTAGGTGGGCCTTGCTCCTGACAGTGCTGTCCCTGGCGCAGGAGAAGCCCTTGATCTCCCCCGGTTACAGTGCCTTGAACGCATCAGATGCGAAGCCCTTGGGAAAACCAGACTTGCAGGACCCAAGCTCGAGACAACCAAAATCGTGTCCCGCAAACTCGCCCACAGGAGGCTAGGAGGTCCACTTGCGATAACAAAAAGCACCATTTCGTGCAGGGTGGTTGAGGTATGTTGCTCTTGGATGCAGGGTTGAGCCCCCAATGTTTGCGTGGGGGTAAGGGTATTCCTGTGATCCACCACACACCAACACCGCACCCTCCAAGAAACGCCGTAAGGGCGGGCGCCACGTCGAGGCATTCGGATGCATCACATCTATGTGACGGATCTCTTCCGGAAGCCCTTCGGAGCCCAGTTCCGGGCGATGCGCGGCGTTCCTTCCGCGCGTACCCGTACCCGTACCCGTCCAATGCATGGATCGTAAGGATCGTAAGGAAGAGGCCGAGCTCCAATGGACCCCTGAAACCTCCGCAACGTATGCAGCGACATGATTTATATATACATATGATATTATATGATCATATTCTATGTGCATATATATAGTATTATATTGTGATATTATACTTTCATATATGTACTGTATTATACATATACTACATTTCTATATATAGTATAATCTTATATATACACTATATTAGGTGAGGTTTTTGGGTTAGTACTTCCTCTCACATCCATGGGTTATTTCTGATGCTGGAGAAGAGTCTTCTCCAAGGCACCCCGAGAACTTCATGGAGATCCTGGCAAGCGCTCCTGGAAAAGTGCTACAGCGTTTGCCCTTGGTGGTGGAGAAAGAGAGGACTCCCCAAGTGTTTGTTTTTTTGGAAACTGCCGGAGTCTCCACAACAGTCACAACCCAGTGGCACAGTGAATTGCTTACTTACATATAGATCTAGGGTTTGTCCTATTACCTGAAACAGTCAGTAGACAATTATCATCATTTTTGAACAAGGCCTTTTACTAACCATCATCATCCACTGTTAGAGGTAATAGGATAGACCCAATATAGATCCATATACTTAGTGCATACAATGGACCTGAACCCTGAACCCCACCCTCTGAAATTTATTAAGTCCTTGCGTGAGTGACTTCCGTATTGGAGGCTGAACCGCACACACAGACATCACAAATCAAATGTATTGAGTGAATTAAGCTCTATGAGAGTTGTTTAGATGAAGAGTTCTTTGCACTCAGAATCTCAAGAGCCTTGCGCGCTCTTGCGCATGAGATGCCTGATGTCTCAACAACTGCCGACATGTCTAAAACAACCCTCCCCCCAAAAAATACAACAACTAAACAGCTCGTTGACAAAGTATGGGCACTTGAGACAGTGCAGATGTCATTTTCTGATTGAAGGACATGGAAGGAAAGGGAAAAGGAAAAAGAACAATTTCTTCCCTCTTGCCCTTTCTTTTCACATTCCCTTACCTTCTCCCTTTTGATTGCTTTCTGTTCCTCCTTCCGTTTCTTGTTCATGTCGTTTTCAACCTGAACTAAATAAATTGCAAAATTTGACACACACGCATATACATATATATATATATGACTATATATGTAATATGCCTGCTGTACACCAGCCACTGATCCTTAGCCCCCATATATGACAAAGTATAAGTTACATACCAACCCAAATCTTGTGGAAAGTAATCGCAACTCCGTTCTTTCACGGCACAACCAACCAACCTCAAATTCTTGACTGGAAGTCTGGTCGACCAACGAATCTTCCTGTACGGCAGGTGAGTGCGGCTTGTACCAGGTGAGAATCGCATTGGGACTTAAGGCTGTTGTAGAGAAATAAGCATGGGTGGAAAACAGGAACGCACATTCTCCAAAATCATGGAAAATCCAAACATACCGGACATAGGAATGCAACAAAAACACAAGAAAAAGACATAGGGATATATTTGTTTTTTTTGTTGGGGGGGAAGGATACAGAAAAGCAAGGTGAGTCAGTAGACAAATTTTGTAATTTGGAGGCCTGGTCATGTTTGGAGTTTGCTCGTGCCTTTTTCCAGAAAAAGACCATCAAACTATGTTTCTTCCAAGTCCATGTTACGGAGGGATATGTTCGGCTTCCTGCCCATGTTCTTGGGAATTTGCACGAAGCACAGTTTGGATGTGGCCCTGCTTCATGTGCCAAGTACTAAGACTACAACATGCATAGCCGGGGCTGGGTTTATGGTTTTCGCAACCTGGCGCGGCAAGCGAGCCAATTTGTGATGGCCTTTCTGATGCTTGCAACGCAGCTCAGCAAAAGCCTGGGAAAGAGCCATACAAGGAACCTTTGGCATGCCATTGGCCATTCTTTGTATCACCACTTTCTGCGATTGGCTTAGGCTGTTGTGCAAGACCGATGATAAAAAAATGATGAGACTCAGAAATTCCCTCGAAGTCGTTTTTGGTTGACCCTATTGGCATGTCAAAATCAAACAACTACATCACATACCGCTTCACACAGCACCGCTTCACCATTTCTGTCCCCAACAGCATTCTGTGCTATTTGACGCGTGTTCTGAGATGCGTGCACATGTTCTGATGATTGTGCTCTCATATGTGTGCTCTTTCTATAAAGCAACAAGGTAGCAGCAAGGTAGGTCCTGCAAAACAACATCCACAACGATCAGCAATCAAAAGACTTTGACTTTCAGGCTCGATGATGGTGAGCAGCACGCAGCTCTTCCCACAGAAGGTTTCATGAAGATGTTTCCGACAATTTGCTGGGCTCAGTCCTCTCCTCGCTCAGCTTTTGGCACTCCGGTACCGCGAGCGGTTTTCCTACACTTGTGTTGGGTGAGGCTAATCAGGCTCTATTGCGGGAAGTTCATTGCCAGGGCAGGCCGCAAGCAGTAAAGAAGAAGGAAAGCACCCCTGCTCCACAAGATAAGTCTCAGATTTGTTGTTTTTGACACCGGCTGCGCAAATTCTATCACAAGCGCACAGTGCACCCTGTACACCACGGGCGCATCAGGGCGCATCCGAGGGCAGAAATCCAGAGCTCACCTCACCGCGCTGCCTGTTCAGTGCTCGGAGGGAAAAATAGAGTAAGCGCACACAGACTCAGGAATTGCTTTTTCACAGGATGGGGGAAATAAGAAATGTTATGTGTTTGTTTTTTCTTCTTTCCCCATCGCTTGAAACAAATCTGATTGGGAGGATTCTTCCTTGTGGATCCCACCAACCCTTATTTCCCTAGCCCCAGGCTTATTTCTCTTTCTTCAATGTGCAATCACTTATTTCCTTGATCTGTGAAATTTGACACGAGAGCGGGGTGTCATGGGGGGTGGAGTTGTGACAATATGCACGCCTTCACCCCCCTCATCCCCCTTCTGTTTGACACACATATAGAGATATTCTATGTACAAATATGCACATAATCTGTGGAATTTCGTTGGCCACAGCAACTTCTCACCTTCCCCACCTCATGACATTGTTTCGGATACTGAGGAGGATTCGGCCCGAGATCATGTCGGCGCAGATTTTGGGAAACTCCAGCTCCTCGCTTCTGGGCCGTGAGGGTTAGAGTTAGACACCCACGAACTGCAAATGGAACGGCAAGTGAGCAAAAATGTCAGCGGTTCTGAGGTTTTGTTGTGAATTTCACATCAGGTTTGGGCATGACAGAGCAACTAGTGGACAATAGTCTTTCAGACCTGTGGTTGAGGAAGGCGGTCAATATTGGTGGATGTCTGAAGTGTTCAAGCCGCTGGTAACTGATCAACTGACTCACTATGCAAGCAGCCCAGCCTAATGTGAGATTCATTATGCTCAGGGGGATGGTTTGTGTCTCCACATTATTGTTATATGTGTTTTTTGGAAGGTTTTTTGGGCAGCCGCGATTTTTAGCCGTTTTAGTCACCTTTGGAGTTCATCTCATATATGCTTTCGTTTGCAATATTGTCCTTTGGATGTTTTTAGGCTGCAATATGATGCAATATGCATGGATCCTGATTATTGTGAAGTCCGGTGCAATATGATTAAGGACTATTAAGGAGGACCCGCGAAAAACAAATTAAACATCACAAAACCAGACAGAACATGACAGAACCAGACCAAACAATCCAGTTCAAGCGAGCTCCACCACCCAATCCCCACAGAACCCATTCACCCAATCCTAACCCAAACTCTCACCTAACCCACCGACTCTTGGCTTCCATCCATCCGCCCCACCTTCCCACCACGGATCTGAAGAACATTCGGACCTCCGCCCCCCCTCTCTGAGCCTCTGGACCTTTCGGGCTCCAGCTACTCATCCCACCACAGCGTCAGGAGCTTCGGGCTTTCTCCGTCCCTCCGCGCGTCCCTCCGTCCCGTCCCTCCACCCGAGGCTCACGGCCGACACGTTGGCGCCTTTCACTCCCGTCAGCTCCTTCGAGGCTCAGCACTTGGAGCAAACGCTCCGCGTGGCCCACGACTTCCTCACCACCTTGGGCACGGCGCGATGGCCGCAACGAAAGGGGGTGGTACTGGGATGGGCAAGAGTCTTGGGGTGGGAAAGATGTGGGACAGTGGGACGTGCGTGTTGTGTGTTGGGGCGGTTCCAGAGTTTCCGTAGCCATTTTGGCTCAAGGCCTGCTATTCTCTCAAAGCTATAGCTCTTCGTGAGAACATGCCATGGGGGAAAGGCCGACAGCAGCAATGGTCTTCATGGGAGTCTTGGAATCAGACCCCGCAGAAGAAGAATCGCAAGTGGCAGAAAGACCTCGACAAGGAGCCAGCCTTCTACGGGTACGATGGAAAAAAGGTGAAGGTAGAAGATGCTGCAGATCGTACTTTTGGCCGGTCCTCTGCTTTGCCCTCTCCGGACAACTCGCTCAAGGACGAGAACAAGCAGCTCAAAGCTGCCATGAAGTTTGTTTTGGAAAATATGAACGGAAAGGTGGAGATTCCGGCGGATATCCAGGACTTGGTGAAAGAGGATCCTCGCGAGTCTTTGCGAGAGCGACAGAAGGCTCTCAATCAGGAGAGACGTGGATTGAACCGCTTGGAGAAGGTCAAGGACTCGATAGAGAAAGAAGAGTGCAAGTTCCGCTCCTGGAAGGAGTGGACGAGCCAGGGCTTGAAGCAGGAGGAGAAGAGGCATGGAGATGCTGTGATTCAGCTCCAAGAGCAATTGCTGGAGCGCCAGAGGGATGGTGTGGATCCTGTGGAGGTGGATTCGGAGTCAGATGCAGAAGGAGTCAAGCCTGCCATTGTACACCTGGAAAAGGAATTTGCTGGGATGCGGCAGGACTTCAAAGACCTCACCACTTACACTGCACAGCTAGAGCATTGCAATTATCAGATGATCGACAACATGCATTCGCAGATGATGTCTATGCTTACCAAGCTTGCGGACAATGGATCACTGCACACAGATGCTCTCCGCAAATCGCCGGAACAGAATATTCGCCCCAAAGGGGAAGGCAAGATCCCGGTGATTCTTACGCCCGAGAAGCCCGAGAGGCGTGGTCGCTCCAGATCACGAGGTCGAGGAGGAGGTGGAGAGACCGAGAAGAAGAGTGCGGAGAAACAGGATGTTCATGCTGGATTGAAAGAGAAGTTGCAAGGGCTGCCAGAGGTCTGTCAGGCAAAGATTCTAGGGGTCTTAAACTCCAATCTGGACAGCTATCCGACTTTCGACAGTGTGGACAAGCTCATCCAGGAGGTGATGGCGACATTCAATGCTGCTGGCCCTCCTGGATTGTTGCCTGTGAAGAAAGAGCCGGAAGAAGAGAAAGTGACTCCGAAGAAAAGGGTGAGAGATGCCCTTCTCCCTTTCGGAGGCAGTGGACCTGTGCCCAAGATCGATGCCGACAGTTCGCCTGGGCAGGTAGCGGCATCTCACGGAACTATTTTGCTGGGGAATGCTGCGACAGATGCTATGAACGACATGGAATAGAAGGCACTATGGCCTTGCGGTCTTTACGAATTGACCTGGAGGAGACGTTTGATGCTGCCCTGGGTCGAAAGCTATGTGGTTGTGAGAACTTTCGACTGCTAGTGACTGGGCAGGAACAGGATGGCAGAGTTGGGTTTAGCTCTGCTGGTGCCCTAGCTGGAGTTGGTCCTTTTCTTTTTGAAGGTCTCATACCCCAGGAAGAGATTGAGGGTATTTGTAGAGAATTTTTGGGGTGGCTACTTCGAGAAGATGATGCTACCTCGAGATTCAAGTTTCATGCGACCACTACTAGAGGGTGTAGTGGGCTTGCTTCTTCATTTTTTGCCATTCCGAGCTGCTTCATTCCGGACATCTTTGAGAGTTCTTTCTCAGCCTGGACATACTGGCTTGTTGGACGGGCCAGCGACTTTTCCTTTTCTGGGGTTGATTGGACTCTGATGATGTGTCAAATCATGCTGCCGATATGGGCCTTTGCCTTAGTCAGCGCACTCTATGAAGTATCGGACTTTTGGCATACACAGGTGCATGGGAAGCTGTATACCTGGCCGGCTATTTCAAGAATTACTGGTATCATTGGATGGCTCTCCATTGCGGCTTTTATCAATATTGCTTGTCTGGAGGTAGCACAGAAGGACGAAGTGGAAGATGGTGGCAGTGGTGTGCATATCCTACTAAGCCTCTTTCGAGTAGTTCTTTTTGTGCTATGTCTCCTGGTGGCAATGGTGCTTCTCAGGTGGCGAGAGCAACATTATCCACGCTTCCCTTTTTCTGCACGAAGATGTGGAAGGAGGCGCTTGTTGCTGAGGTTGCATGGGAGGACTCGGATGACCAAAAGGTTTGTTGCCCTTTTTCTTCTGGGCAATCTTGTTGGGGCTGAATATGTCACAGCCAACCAACAGCTGCAGCAGATGCAAGATACTTTATCTATGGCTTCTAATGCTGCTGACCATGTTGCCAGAGATGCCTCTTGGCCTTGTGGGCGTTTTGGCATGAACCCAGGTCGCTTGTTCCTGGCAGAAGGCTTTCGATCTAGACTCGGCTTTGGAGAATTTTGTTGGGAGGGTCATGACAATGTTGGCCTTCCCTATGACCACGAAGTTTGTCCACTCCAAACTGATGAAAGATTTGCTCCCAGGCACTACCAGATGCCTGGTCGAGCTGCAAATTCGGTTGGCCCAAATTTTGTTAGGGGAAGATTGACATCTGATCGCCTCTATGTGAATGGGGAATATCAACAAAGGATTGCTGAACATGTCTCTCCAAAGCAAGTATCTCCTGCTGGATCTATCGAAGATGTGATTTTGGTACAGAAGTTCGTTCTTCCTACCTCGCAGATTAGATGTGGCCAGGTTTGTCGACAGGAGCCGTTGCATGAAGGTGGCTACCCCTTTTGTTCTCGCTCAGTAGGGCTTGTGTCTTGGTTTGCAGAACCATACCCGGCCAAGGGTACTGAATGGAGACATCGAATTGTTGCCTCTGAGCATTTTGGTGATCTGGGGGCTTTCCTTAATGATGTTTGGAGAGATAAGTGCCGACAGAAAGAATGCTCATATGTGTCAGTGCGACCGCGGTCCTTGACTATGTTGAGCAGTTCGATCGATATGTATGTCATTCTGTTTGTCCGGTCCTCGACTCACTCATGGGTGAATTTGGTCCAGAAGGTGACTTTTGGGGATAGGCAAGAAAAGTATGAATACTATGCCATACACTTCCGAAGTTGCAGTGAATGGACTAGATTCTGCCGAACCTCTCGCTTTCTGGGATCTGTAAATGAGGGCAGATCTTGCCCATCTCATGGAGCGATGCTGGTCTTGCAAGATGATAGTCTGCTGCAGGAAGATTCCATTGAGATGAAGTCTGATGCTGATGAGATCAGTGTGTTCATGCAAGCTCAGATGCATGCGACGTTAGCCCCTGAGCTGTTACAGCGCGATGCACCCAGCAATTATGTTCTTGCTCATGCAAGACGACAAGTGCCTATTGAAGTCGTAGCTTGGTGTCATCCACGAGCAGCGATGGGGAGTTTCTCGGTTTTTGGTCATGTGCTTGTGTGGCCTCCAGCGACCGAGCTTATGCCTCTGCTGCATCATCATTGGGATCGGCATTTTGGAGCTGATGAATTGATGATTGTACCTGTGAGACCGATTCCAAGGTACATTGATCAGGCAATAGCAACTTTGATTGTGCTACCCATGCTTGATGAATTGCACCTTCCGATCTTGGTTGATTTGACCACGCCAGGGACGTACATGAGAGGGACTTTTGTGGTAGTGGCTCCCCGAATCCTCACCACACTACAGTTCCTGCAACAGATTGTGCCTCAAAGAGACTGTGTATGGCAAGATGATTGCAAGGTCTATATGGGAGACCTGAGACTGCCAAGACTCTACACATGGCACATGCCGATCCAACTTTATGAAGGAGCCTTTGTCAGGGTCTATATTGCTGACATTGATGGACCTCTGAATGACGATGACTCTACTTGCTTTTCGGGGTCTTCTACACTGTCCTCAAGTAGCGGTCTGTCTGATGGTCAGTCCGTCTCCTCCATTGAGGCAGAGATCGATGAGGCGGATGCATACCAGGATGATGAGAATAGTCTTTTTCAAGCAGCTGGAGGTCTGAAGGAAGATGGTGGGGAGAGATTTGGCAAGCTGGATGAAAGCTTTTGTCACCTTTGGGTCGAGCTTCACTCTTCATTTCCTGCTACATGGCCAATAGAGGAGAACACTGCAACCTCTTTGCCCTTTCTTCAATATTGTCGAAATTTCTTCCCTGCAAGGGCTACAGCAGAAGATGAAGCTGATGACCATATAGGCCTTATGCAACGGCCTCCTAGAGAAAGGCCATCGATTTCTTTTGGAGATGCAGCGACCAGAGGAAGGCCCTTCCTTCCTGTTTACCGGACGACGAGAAGACAGCTGGTCGACACATGGTTGACACAGGGTCAAGATTTGGCCTATGAACATTTCCGAGAGTTCGAAAGCGGCATTTGGCAAAAGAAACTTTTGGGGTGGAAATTCAGAGATGCGGATCAAATATATGGTGAGCCCTTTGCAGTGCATTTGCTGCGAATGGGGTTATGGTCATTGCACATCATGAACCACTTTGAGTTAGAAAACTATCATGAAGTGGTGATCCTGACTGTATTTCCGCAGCCGACTATGTTGCACTTGGATGGCAACACAAGGGCCCTTCATGACACGGTAGTACTGGCTATGACATCCGAGGTTGCGGCGTCTGACTGGCTTCCTTTGGTTGTCCAATACTCGTTGAGAGGATACAATGAGATTGAGTCGATTAGATGTCCGCCAGGATGCTGCCCAGTGGTCGTCTGCAATATGCTTGGCATGGATGCGCTCTGTGAACGGCCGTGGATGACCCAGGTCTCCTTTCGTTATTTGGACACTATTCGTGTCTTCTATGATATGGAGCGTATTGTGCTACCACCTGCTGCTGTTGTTACGTTGGACCGTATTGAAGCTGCTATCTGTGAAGATCCATTGCCTGCCCAATTCCCGTTGAGAGAAGATGAAATGCTTAACACGCCTAGGC